GAGAGAGAGAGAGAGAGAGAGAGAGAGAGAGAGAGAGAGAGAGAGAGCGAGCTGGCGGTGCTCAGCTCACCTCCCCTTCTTCACTCAGCTGGGACCCTGGCCCATGGGCTGTTGCTGCCCACATTCAGGGTGGGTCTTCAGTGAACTAGAAACTCCCTCCTCAGAGACATACCGGATTCGTCTTCAAGGTGGTTGACAGTCAGGATTAAGCCTCCACAGGTGCCCTCTTGCTGAGTTCTGAGTTCTCTTTGGGTCTTTTCTGTAAGGATGCTAACTCTACCCATGAGAGCCATCATGAGCTAATCAATTCTCAAAGCACTCGCCTCCAAATCCCTGGAGAGTGGATTCAATCTGTTCAATAAGGACAATTCGTAGATCGTGAACAGTCCAACTGTGGTACACACAGAAAAGTATTGATTTCAAGAAAACCTGGAGTTGAACAGAAAAGGAAATACAAGCAGAGCCTGCTGCGCAATTCAGGTATGGACATGTTTATGTAGTCATAGTAAACACTGAGTATCAAACCAAATTACACTTATCATTAGAACAAGAGGGAACAGCTGGGGATGATGGCCAAAGACTTGGGCAATAGAGGCAGGTAGATCTCTGTGAGTTTGAGGCCAACCTGATCTGCATAAGGTGTTTGAGGCTAGTAAGGCTGACATGGTCAGAACCTGTCTCAGAATATATTTAATAAATAAATAAATGGGACAGGAAGTAGGGACTCAGTGGCGCGAGATTCCAGAAATGAATTAACTCTTCATCTTCTACTGAGGAACCCCTCCAGATGATACCTGAAATATCAAGGTAAAGGTGAGTGACACTTGTGACGTAGGCAGAAGCCACAAGCAGTGATACACACCCATCATCTGTCACTCCAGCACCTGGAAGCAGAGACAGGAGGTCATGAGTTCAAGTCCAGCCCGGACTACATGGTGAGTTTGAAGCTTGGTCTATGGGACCTCTTTATCATCCCAGCACTTGGGAGGCAGAGGCAGGAGAATCATGAGTTCAAAACCAACACCTGGAAGCAGAAACTGGAGGTCATGAGTTCAAGTCCAGCCTGGACTACATAGTGAGTACTTATCTTAAAAACAAAGTAAGACAACAACAACAAAATGGAGGGCTGGAGAGGTGGCTTAACAGCTAAGAACACTAGCTGTGCTTTCAGCCTGCCCTGGTTCAATTCCCAGCAACCACATGATAGATGACTCACAAGCATCTGTAACTCCAGTTCTAGGCCAATGCTCTCTCCTGGCTCCCACAGCCACGCACACACACACATGCTAACAGACATTTATGCAGACAACACACCCTACACATAAAGTATATTTGTTTAAATACCTGTGGTACGTGACTGTCATTCTAATACCTAAGAAGTAGAAGAAAAAGGATCAGGAACTCAAGGTCAACATGAAGTACAATA